CTAATCCATGTCTTGCGTTGGCTGTTGTTCAAACTTCAGTTTCCAGAAAGCATTCCAGATCTAGGCTACACAAATCTGGACGACTGATAGATGGCAGCAAAAAATTAGTTTTGTATAGAACTTTGTCATTATCTAGTGGTCATCCAAATTTGGCAGCCCATATACAGCACGATTAGGTTTCAGCATTGACATGACCACATGACACGGCCATGAATTACTTCTCTGTCTTACTTTTTGAAACTAAGCCTTTTGCATTTTAGGTATACAACTAGCAAGTGTATTGGATTGCAATGCAAATATAAATTTCAAAACATTATATGGCCTTTATTTTTTGGAAAAAGAAACGAGGTCACATGCTTACTTAAAGTAGAAGCAGGGAAAATATCATTAAAAAAATATCTGGAGCAGTATCTTAGCAGAATTATTGCAGCCTTGTTTCTGTTCCTTTATGGCCTGCAAAATGACATTGCCTTTCATTTATGCAGCACTTTTCATCCCAAAGGGCTTTACATTTAATTTACCCAATAGCAGTGGGAGTTCTTCAAATGGTTTGAGGGCATTTAATAGCTGGATGTAGAAATCTGAATCACTTTGCCTTTTTCTTAAGGAACAGTCAGAATTGAGGAATGAGCTTGGCAGGCATTCTTGACTGCAAAAGTGTTTTACTGAGCTGTTTCATGAAATGCCAGGAAATTAGAAAGTTAACCCACATCAATGGGGTTACAGAAAGGCATTTCATAACAGTGGGTGTTAGTTGAAAAAGGTGATTTGGAGAAATCAGCACATGTGCTACGTATGGCTCATGTTTGTACTTTAGAGAAAAATATGTATAAATAATATACAGAAGCCAAGGGGATCAGACTGTTGGCCTCTTACATGCAAGCAAGATTTTTTCAGAAGGGGCAAGAATTATTGTTATTCAGAAGGGGCTAAAAGCATTTTTGATCTCTTTCTACACTGAATGGCCATTATTTTGAAACTGGAGGTGCCCAGCTGTAATAGTCTTCATCCTCATATCTCTGCAATACATCTAAAAGGATTCCTACCATCCCATTCTGTAACTCTTGTCCTCATTATTTACTGAAAAAAAAAAAACAGTAAAAGCAAGGTAAAAGCAGTAGTTCTTTAAAGCTGATCCAATCTGCTGAAATTAGTTGATATTGTAGAATTCTTGGTGTTTTCAGCTTGGTTGTTTGCTTGTAGACATTTCATTATCCTACCAGCTGGCATCATCCATGCAAGGGAGTGTGAGGTTTGCTGTCTAAGGATTTTATACTGATTAATATACAGATATACAAAGGATTTAAATGAATCAGGATTCAATCTGTAAAGGATTAATTTAATGTGAAATATACTGTATTAATTCAGGAGAACTAACTACACTGTTTTGCGTCTTGTCATAAAACAAAATGTTTATGTTTACACTTTTAATATATGTGGATAAATAGAATATAAATTAGCTGCTAAGTTAAAGTTTTGCTTGAAATGCATCAGGTTTCAATGGCTTATTTAAATAAAATACTTGTTTAACAACCAAGATATCAAACAGATTTCAGACTGCTAAAGAAAAGGGAATAAAACCATTTAATGTAAGTTAATATGCCTTCCTTAAGCACCAAGAACAAATACTACACTCAGTGCACCTCCTATATCTTTCCATTTTTGAACCCCATCTTTTGCAGTTCAGAATAAATCTGGTTTATATCAACAATTTGGGAGAATTGTTGAATAATCCTAGAGAATTCAAAATAGGCTCCACTTGGACTGATAGCCTGGCATAACAAGTTCCTGCCCTCATGGTAACCGTCCTTACAAACTAAGAGATGCTACTTTTCTTTAAAGTAACAATTCATGTAATATGTTATGACCCACTTCAGATGAGAAATGTGAAGCTTCTGAGAAAAGTATGTTGAGTCAAACATGTGGAGAGATACCAGTTTGAACATCTAATAACATCATTGTTAATGGAACTGTTGCACAAGGAACAGTAGCTTCCTAAATTTGTAATTAAATGTGTTTTTTAATTTATAAAATTTATTCAGTAGGAAAATTTGCTTTGCCTATGATCTTCACATTGAATATTTTCCTTTATTTTCACAAGCATTCTTTCTTACTAACAAATAATATGTATCTTTCCGTGGCAATCCTTTTTTAAAGGAACAGCTGTCATCCTCAGTGTTCTTCTGTCCTTGAATGGCAATCATGAGAAATCAAGATGCTGAAACTTATTGAAAATATGAGATGAAAAAAACATGGATTGTCCAGTCCAAATCACTTAATGATATGAATCAGAACCACATGCTGGCTAGATTGAGGGTTAGAAAGAATTACCTGAGAATTGTTAATAAATCTTTTTTGGATGTGCCATGACAAAGTTTATTTCATGCCCTTTGACTCCAGTGTGATGCCGCTTGCTGAGGAGTTAACAGGTCAGACAATTTGTTGGAGTAGAGAATGTGAGTAGGAGGGAATTTAATGAGAAAAGGAGAGAATGAAGTGAAAAATAAAGTGAATATTAGTGTTTGGAAGTCAGGTTCTTTTAGACAAATTACACAAAGATTGTTGTCAGCCAGTGGGGGTGGGGGGTGGGAATGCACGAAAGAGAAGAAAGAAGGGACATATCCAACTTGTGTTGTCAGGGATATTCTGTTCCTCAAACTGAGAGAGCCATCTTTGCTGAGCCATATTTACTTCCTTTCTTTGTTTCTCAGTGCAAAGGGGAGTTGAAAGCCATATGTGAAGAGTAGGAGTTACATGAGTGCTCAGCTGTGTAGATAGCAACATGAGGTGGAACAAGGCAAATGACAGATTGACATGAAAAATAAAGGCAAATATACCAGAGAACTTGGGCAATTGACCATATATGACTCCAGGCAGAAAGCTTCCTCCCATGAATCCTTGACTGCAAGAACTAAAGGAACAAGTTGAGTTCCTGTTCATAAAGAAATAAATACAGATGAGTTATCCTACTCTCATTCATTAAATTTGGGGGATTATATCATGAAAGCTAAAGCAACAGCCTATATTTGAGAATTCATAATAAGGACCTTACTATATAAATGCCTCAACTGTAATTAATGAGGGTTATTTAAAGGTAATATTGTGATGTTGTACTAGGAATGTAGCATCCCCAGTTTTAAGTCCATACTCAGCTATATAAACTCACTAGGTATAGGTATCATTGACCAGGTAACTTTCTCCTGGATACCCTGCCTCACAGGATTGTTCTTGGAATGGAATTGGAAAGGTGAGTTTTTGAGACATTGAAATAAACCCTATCATGTTTGTTGAAAAGGCATCCCATTAAATTTAAAGGAAGCCTAAATGTGCATGCTGTAAAATTAGAGATTCTGGTGTATCCAATGGATTTAATCCTAAATAAACATTTGTAGGATAACTGCATTCAACATATTATTAATCCAGAACATATTATATAGTACTATTTAGGCTATTATGGCTTGGCTCACACATATCACTATGGCGAGTGGGTCACATGTCTTCCTACTCCAAAAAAACAAATCACATTTTTAACACAATATGTTAAATCTGTGACATTCGTTTCTAAGTAAACCTTTTTGCATAGGATTGTCATAACATGCATGAATAATCTCTTGAAATAGTTTCATATTATATATCCTCAGGCGTCAAGTCAAATCTCTTTTGATTATAAAATTCTGTAGAATATATTGGACAACTCCAGACTTGTGAGAGGTGGGTCGTCACCATTCCTTCATAAAGTCACTATCTAAAATTTCTTGTTTTCTCTACTATAAATCATATGTGCATGTTTGGACATGGCCCATATATCGTCCAGTTATATATTTAGTAGAAATTGAAGGACTCTGGTAAATGTGTGTTAATAAATGAATGGGCTTTAGTTAATAAATGTGTATCCTCAGAATTACATTGCGTTACAAAACAAGGGTAATTGCAACTTTCATCATCCCTGTCATAAAGCATGATGTCATATGACCCCACCGCTTAGCAAAAGCAGTTCCAACATTTCCGGTTTCATTGTTAATTGAATCCAAGCTGTTGTTAAGTGAGGACGTCATGTAAGTACCATTAATGACCTCCTGAGGCTTCCCCACTGACTTTGTTTGTCAAAAGCTGGCAAAGCTCACAAATGGAGTTCCAGTTCACAACAGCTGGAACTCTTGATCATTTAAGCGTCACTCATTCAGCACCATCACAAATTCAAATGGCCACTGGACGGTCTACCTGTAACTTTAACTTCCTCTCAAGCTGGGGATGAGAGACTAAAGGCTCCAAAGGCAGAGACTATAATAATTTAGCCTCAATCGATTAATGAACCGGTTCAGAAAAGCATGATTTTATGGCTTGGCGCATTTAACTTTGGTGTTGGAGAAAGACACCTGAGACCACCATGGACACTCAAGAAAATAAAAGCAAGGAATCAAGGAACAAACTAATCCAAAATCTTGGATAATCCAAATTATTCACATTATGCGAAGAAACAACTGTGCTCTTCAAAGAAAATAGAAAAGACAAAAGAAGACTTAAGACCAGCAGCCAAGTGGATGGACTCAGTTTATACAAAGCTATGGGTACACCATAGCAACACCTGAAAGAACACATTATGGATAGAATATCTATCTATATTCTATTCCAAAAGGAGTCCAAAACTAAACAATCAACGCCTTTAGGCGGCCATTGGGCTCAATAAAGGCTGGTTCTCCGTCTTGAGGCGAGCAAGACGCGGAAAAAGGTGTCTCGGTGCGCATGCGCGCGCTATCGGCCGCGCTCGAGAGGTCGCCTTTTGTGAGGGAAACACGGCATTCTACCCCCTTCTCCGATTTACTTTTTCCCGCCCGTTTCTTCTCCCCCCGCCCACCACCACCCTCGCTTCTCTTCTTCCTTCCCCACCACGTGACGGGGACCTCTGACGCTGCGCTGCTGGGTCCCCTGCGGCTGCAGGGGTGGGGGTGGGGGGGGTGAGGGTAGATGGGGGTGGAGCCGCAGCTGGAGAAAAGGCGGAACGGGCGAGGGGCGGAGCGAGAAGAGAAGGAAGCCGCGGCTGCCACTCCACAAAACGCCGCGTCGGAGCCAGGAGAGCGGACCTGCGCCAGCCCGGGGCTCCGATTTCCGGTGAGAAGGGGCTCTTTCGACTGAGGAGGGGGCGTCGCCGCCGCCCGCGGCCGCTTCCAAGCACGGCGATGCTCCCCCATGGTGCCTTCGTCGCTTAATTGCGGAGGATGGAAGGAGCATCGGACGGACTTCCTCGTAGCCTGACTCCTTTCGCCCCACCTTTTACACAGGGTTTCCCTCCGGGGGTAGTAATGCAGGGTAACGCTCCCCTCTTCCCAGTTTTTTTTTTGGGGGTGTGTGTGTTTGTGTGTTTGTGTTTGTGTGCAAAGGGTGAGGATGGAGCGCGAGAGAATTGCGGCTCCCGGAGAAATCCGGACGGCGATTAGGTGGCGGGAAAGAGCTTCCTGTACACTTCTTTCCAATGTGCTGAACCTTCTTTGTGTGTCTGTGTGTGTGTCTGTGTCCCCCAAAGTTTGGGAAGTGTGACGGGCGAGGTGGAAGGGTTGCACATTTGCCGTATGTGCTGCATGGTGTTGCTCGCACAAGTGTCTTTGTGCCAAGTGGAAGTGGTGTCTTCTAGTTGCGTTGAGTTTACCCGTTGTATAATCCCCAGACACCGGTGTCTTGAACCCCACTTGGAGAAGGCTCTGAGCAATGGTCGGTGGATGTGTGTGTGTGTGTATGGGGAGGGGGCGTTTCACAGTGTGTGGGTGCGGGGTTTCACACTTTCCTCTACAGCACTGACTGGGTTTAGCATGAAATAGTTTTGGCATCAAACTTATTTGGGGGAGGGGGGAAAGGGAGGGGGAAATAGGTGCACAGCATGATGTTGTCTATTTCTTTTGATGGACAATTTTTAGGAAGCCTTCCTTGATCTTGTATTTTATTTTTATGAGGAGCGATCTAGCCCAATCTTACCTACCTACACACGCAAAAACATGCACATATGCATCAACACACACACACACACACACACACACACACACTGGTGTCTGGCAATGGCACGTGTTCCAGAGAGCAGAAAAGTGCAATAGTTTCACTTCCTTTCCATTTGGGCCCAGGCATAATTCTGCCTTCTCTTTCTGTAGGCAATACAACCTGTTTCCGGAAATATGTAGAAACCCTGGTGATACCAGCCTTCATAGGGAGATTGTTTGTCCTGTGTTGGTTTGTGCCGGAAGTGTTCATGCTTATGTTGTTTCTGCACAGAGTGCATGCCTTTCTTCTGCTTTTCCTTAACTCCTCTTGAAAAACTTTATATATAGAGAAAGATTCCAAAATGGAGAAATCTACATTTGTGCTTGTTGAAAAGCATCATTTAGATAGGAAGTTGTTGATTTGTCTTTAAAGGCAGGTTACTGCATAGAACATACTGCTTAAAAGCTTCTGCATAGTTGTTAATATGCTATTTAAGAATTCCAGTACTGATGGTTAAATACATAATCTCATCCAGGATAAAGTAAGAAGCTTTGTATAATTTTACTTCACTTCATAAAATATATTGCAAAATATGTATGTGGGGGACATCATCATCATTTGTTTTTAGTGAAAGGTTTCCATCCTGCCTAACTTACTGTTTATAAGAAACTTTAAACTTTATTTTATTTGCTTTAAACACAGTATACTAGCCATATATTTTTGCTAGATAATCTGAAAAAGAGACAAACAGATCTATATACTTGTGAAGTGTTATTTACCATTTAAAAATTCTGAGCATCCTAAAATGCCAAATCTAAATCAGTGATCACCTTCTAACTTAAGAATGATTCTATTTTTGAAAAAAAGCCAAGTTGCTGGAGAAGTACATTGAAAAAGAATTATACCATTTTTTCTAACTGGTTTTGACAGTCCGTGCTTTCCATCTGTGATTGTTTTATCTTTATGCTCATTTTGAAACTATTTCATATGAAATTGAGTACAAATGAGTCATGCCAGCTGTCAAGTAAAATTCTTATGAAATTTTAGTGTGTAAAATCAATTTCTTTCTAAAAATGTGAAAAGAATGTTGTTATGAAAATCATGGACTTGGCATTCCATAGTATGTTTGCTTTTCTGTCATGGTGACTAGAAACGCTGCTATCTTTTCTCCAGACTTCTATGTGCTTGATAATTGTCAGAATTTCTTTTTAATGTGAAATGTGGAAAATAAGGCAAGCCTTTTGTCTACATTGCTCTGCTGGCTTCCTTGAAATGAGGCTATAGAAATGCAGAAAAATCTGCACAAATAAAGTAGTTATGCCGGTGGGGGTGTATTTTGTTCTCATACAATATGTACCCAGAAATCGTGGGTTTAATGGAAATGTTTCTCAGATGCTGACAAGTCACAACATAAGAGAAAATGCCTATTGTATAAAGGCCAGTTCATTGGTTTTCACTTCATCTGGCCTTCAGCTGGTAAGATCTTATAACAAATGAAAATCAAAATGTCTTCTAACTACAGCTTCAATGACTAACTTTGTTTGTCTGACATCATTAATGTGTTCATTACAGCTGTAGAGGATAATGCTTGCCAGCACAATAGTCTGCAGTTGAAGAAGCATATTATTGTGTTGCCATTGTGTGTATATATGTGTATAAAGTAAAAGCCAAGGTGGTCCCAGTAGAGGCAAGAGCATTCGGGGCAATGGTATCTAAATTCAGATCATTCCCAAGAACAAAATCAGAGCTCACTTGTCAGGAAGAGTGCTGTGCTAAGAACAGGTAAGATCCTGCACAAAATCCTCCCAGGCTTTTGATAGAGGACCTGAAATTGATAGAGGACCTGAAATTGAGAAAGGAGTCTTATTTACGGTCACTCATGCCCTCGTCACTTCCCGCCTGGACTATTGCAATGCTCTCTACATGGGGCTCCCCTTGAGGAGCACCTGGAGGCTCCAACTGGTGCAGAGTGCGGCCGCGCGGGTGGTTATGGGAGCGACATGGCGCTCCCATGTAACATCTCTCCTTCTTAAGACCTTTTTATTCCATCAGGCTGGCCTGGCCTAATCTTTTCCCTTTTTCCCTTTTTAAAATGTAAATTTTAATCTGTTTAAATTATTGGGGTGCTTTAAATCTGTCTTGGGCCAAAATTGTTTAATTTGGTTTTACTTTGCTTTTAAATTTTGTATTTATGTGTTTTATCTGTGGCTGTTCACCGCCCTAAGTCCTTCGGGAGTAGGGCGGTATATAAATCAAATAAAATCTAAATCTAAATCTAAAGATACAGATCATCTATAGAGTGGTGAGAAGGGAATACACACACACACACATACAGAGAGAGAGAGAGAGAGAGAGAGAGAGCAAGCATTTCTGTAAGACATAAATAGTATCTATTGTCTAGTCTTCAGTAGACTAGTTTTTAAATTGTACTTCTTTAAACCTTGTAAGGTTGATAATTTCTTTAGTTAACTTAATGCTATCAACATCACAAAGCAGGCAAAAGCAACAGATCTAATTATGTCATACTTTTATAATCTTTTAAAATTTTTGAAAAGTGTTGTTTCCTGAAATGTATTATTTTGAAAATTAAAAGAGGTTCTGTGACTTCTATGTTGCTTCTAGACATTGTATTTCAGACTCTTCACTGACTTGCATTAGTTTAATACAAATAGTCTTTGACTTAGAACCACGATTGAGCCCAAAATTTATGTTGCTAAGTGAGAAATTTGTTAAGTGAGTTTTGCCCCATTTTATGACTTTTGTTGACACATTTGTTCAGTGAATCACTTCAGTTAAGTTAGTAACATGGTTGTTAAGTGAATCTGGATTCTCCATTGACTTTGCTCATCAGAAGATCACAAAAGGTGACCCCGGGACACTGCAATTGTCATAAATATGTCAAGCAGTTGTCAAGCATCCCATGACCATGGGGATGCTGCAACGGTCATAAGTGTGAAAAATGGCTTTAAATCACTTTTTTTGTAACTTTGAATGGTCACTAAATGAACTGTTGTAAGTCAAGGACTACCAGTACAGTATGAATTTTAAGACCACCTTTTTCAGTGACTAATACTTTACATCTATTTGATAAATGGGACATATAACTTATACTTATCATTGAATTTAAAATAACAGTACTAATTTTTACAGCATAGTTCATTCCATTCCATTTACACACACAAAAAGTGATTATGTGCTTGTTTGTCTTTACCTTAAAATGTTGTATGAACTCGGCTGTTATGATTTAAAATCATGGTTTACATCTTAACGTAACAAATAATGACATGAGCAGCTACAAGTACATCAGTTGGACCATGAAGCTGGAGAACCTGGGTGGGCTATTTTCATCCATGAAAGAAATGGAAAAGGAAAGAATGATAGTGCAGGAGAATCAGTGGCTTTGAAATTGCTGAAGAAGAAATTTGATTTTGGACTCATAGCTATGTATGATGGACAGTTGGTAAGGGATAGATTTCTTTCTCACCAAAATCGTGGAATGTGATTAACCAAAACATGTTGAATTTAATCAGGAAGGACTTAAATTAAATCATGTGAGAAATGAAGGCAAAACCTCAGAACTAACAAAGAGTAGGAATAGTAACAAAGATACAGGAATAGCTGGAAAAATAATTAAACTGAGCTTTTAAAAATCAGTAATAAACCATAAACAACATTCCTGTAAAGGTCATAGTCTTCATTATCTGAGGGATTATTTAATAAGTGTGACTGAGATCTGATGGAATGATTCCCAGTTCAGTTGCAATATAGCAACTGAACTGAAGGCTACAATTTATTCAAAAGCAGCAGAAGCAACAATAAGGAGGAGTTGTACTGTATGCTAAAATATTTATCTCTGCATGAAATCAAAGGGAATGAATTTGGTGGCATTGGTGATTAAATCTGAGTTAATATAAGTGGGAAAGGAAAAGTGGCAATGTTTGAATCCCACGGCCAGATAGATTATATCCTGGGGTTTCTGATGACCTGACTAAACCTTTTAAAATAATCTTTGAGAAATTCTAGAAAATGGGCAAAACAGAAATCTGGCTTGGGTAAATTGATCCTGCCTTCCAAAAGGTGAAAAAGGAAGGTTCCAGGAACTGTAGACCAATGAGTCTTCTATTGATTTCTGGGAAAATTCTAGAGCAGATCATAAGGTTGAGCTGTAAATACCTTCCAAGCACAGTGCTGTGATGGGGAAAAAGTCAGCATGGGTTTGTTAAGAAGAAATTTTATGAGATTGAAGTTATTTTATGTTTGCTTGGATAGTTTAATTAGGTAAATTAATTTATAGTTACTGAATAAAGGAACTTTTCTTTCATTGTAATCAAATTATTTCTCCCCCCTCCCCCCCATGGCTTGGGTTCCTATATTAATTACTTTCTGGCAATGAATTTTATTCTGTGTTTTCACTATCTGAATGATTGAATTCAATTCATGCTGATTTTCATTTTGCTAATTCACATGTTGTATTATTTGTTTTTAATTTATTAATCACCCTGGTTATTTTTACTTTAAAGGGAATATAAAAGAAAATATAAAAATGGCTTAAGGCAGATTATGCAGAAACCCTGTGAGATATTTCTGAATCTGGTCAGTGCCCAAATAGACTGTATAGGTATAGATAATAAATAAGATCTAGAAATTAAGAAGATTGAAATGGCAGGTCCTGATCCATTTATTTCAGCAAAATACTGCATTTGATAACATTTAAAAACTTTGATCGTCACCAAAAGATCTTTGCTAGATCTTCATCATCTTTACCTTATTTTGTTTTAGAAAGTATATGGGCAGTACAAGCAAGATGGATACAAATACCCTGTTTCCCCCCAAAATAAGACATCCTCTGATAATAAGCCCAATTGGGCTTTTGAGCACATGGCAATAAGGCCAAGCGCTTATTTCAGGGATCAAAAAAATGTAAGTCAGGGTCTTTTTTTCAGGGAAACACGGTATGTAAAGGGATATTATGACATTTCTTACCATTATATATATATATATAAATAGATTCACTGATTCCAGTATTTAGTCATGATATTTTACATTGATAGAATAGTTTAAAGGTGCTACTAAATTCCAAAATGTATTTAAAGAGATAGTGAGCATAAGATGAAAAGATCAATATAGTTCCTTTCTTTCCTAGTTCTTTCTTTCCTAGTTCTTTCTTTCCTCTTTCTTTCTTTCTTTCTTTCTTTCTTTCTTTCTTTCTTTCTTTCTTTCTTTCTTTCCTAGTTCTTTTGTTCCTCCTAAAATATAGTGTTACCTGGGCTAAATAATTTGCTAGTTAAGTAAGATATTGTCTTGAACTAAAAAACAGAATTCATTGTAGAATTTATAATAAGTAATTTAAAGAACATAAAGATATTATGCACTATATTCTTCTATACCCATATTTTTTTAAAAAACTAGAACAATTAGGAAACTTAAAATACTTTTTACTTTTAAATTTAGAAATGTAAGGTATTTTAAAATCAATACTTTTCAGTTACTTTCACCACTCTTTTGTTAAAATTTAAATAGTGTAAGGGAAGTATTGTGTATTCATATCATGCCATAATCATTTTAAGTAAAAATAATCTCCACAAAAATATTAATTACTACCCCAGTTATAATTTTTTTCCTAATGTGCATATTTCAATGCTGTATTCTGGACTTTTAGAGGAAAATTCAGATATAAGTAACGTGCAAAGTAATAAAATATTTTAGTTCTGTTTCTTTAATGTAAGGTGCACATGCTGAAACAAGTTTCCATGGGTTTATGCCTGTAGATTTTTTTCTGGAAAAAGAGGGGGGGGGGGTTGCCAAGGAAACCTATATCTCCCAACAGGGAGATTTATCTGAAAGATTTGGTAAGCTAATTCCTCCCAAATATGAGATTTGTCAGAGGATTCTAATATATAAATAATCTGAAGATCACATTTATTATATGATCATATGGTAATATGTTTGCATTCTTTTGTAGGTCTTCTAAGAATCAGGAGGAAGAAACACCATGTGGCTTAACCTTTCACTTGGAAACATAGCTTTTTAAAAGAGATGGCTGACAAGGCTGGAAAAAATCTTTCAGGCCCACTGTTCATTGAAGTTGAATATGATTATGAGTATGAAGCAAAAGACAAAAGGATTGTGATAAAACAAGGGGAGAAATACATCTTAGTAAAAAAGACTAATGATGACTGGTGGCAAGTCAAAAAGGATGAAAATTCCAAACCCTTCTATGTGCCAGCACAATATGTTAAAGAAATAACCCGCAAAGCACTAATGCCACCTATTAGGCCATTAGTTGGACTGCCAAACAACTCTCTAAAACTTGCACATGGTTTACAGAGGTCAACAGAAAATGTGAATAAATCTCCAGAGCTTTCAACTTCAGGGAAATCGTATCTAGTTCAAGCTCAGGATGCCAACCAGAATCTGGGACCAAACAGTAGCCCAGGTCAGAATACTGGACTTAGCATAGAACTTGCCCCAAACAATGGAAAGTTTAATGATTTACAGTTTGTTAACGTTTCCAATCAGAACGTGAACTTATCTGGGTCTCACTTTCATTGTTCAGAATGTATGGAAACTGAGAAGACCAGCTTCTTGCAAGAACAACCCTGTGATTCTGTAGGCGAAGGATCAGAAAAAATCCACCAAGATTCAGAATCTGGAGATGATCTCAGCAGCAGTTCCACAGAACAAGTACAGGTAAAATAAGTTGCACTGCAGTAAATTGCCTATCCAATATTTTTTTTTTCTTGATAGAAAATATGTAAGTGAACTAAAATGACAGGCCAGACTTGTTCTATTAGTGGTCTATAATAGAAGATTTGAATAAACATTATTTGCTTATAGTTAAGTAACCTTTTCTTTGTGATATGAAAACTTTGATGTTGGTTTTATGTGTGTGTGTGTGTATCTGTTTGTGTTTATTCTGTTAATTATGATTTCTAGAATTTAATCCTTTCTACGAAAAGCAGGTGTCAACAGTTGATTGATCCTGGAAATTCTATGCAAAATCAGCTAGGATTTCAATGGAAGATAACTGGAAGCTCAATAATACCTTTTAGAAAACTTTACATTTAAAGTTTATGGAAGAGTAGGAAGTTGTAGGTAATTATAGCCCCACGACACTCTACATTTAAAAGCCATGTGATAAGCAGCTTGATTAAGCCAGAATTTAAGCAGAACTACATATTACTTTAGCAAGTGCATGTTCCAGGCTTATTCTTTCTGAAATAATAGAGAGGTAGAAATTGATTACTTGGAGAACAAGTATTTCTATGCCTTCAAATGCTCATCCAGAGATTCTGTCCCCAATTTGTATAGGTTTCAGTCTGGAAAATTGATAGTCAAAGGTGGCAAAACATGGACTAGAAGGTCATTTGTAATAAGAAAGAAGATATAAAAAGAGTTGTATTGCAAATGTTCTTACCATGTTGTATTGGGGCAGCACAAAGAGGTACTTTGCATTGTGTGTAGATTTCAGAAAAGTGGCTGTACATGCACATGGAGACATCCAGTCAGCTTTGGAATTATCCCCATAAATCTTGCAAAATATGTAATTGCCTTAAAACCTTAACTGATGACAGGCTCCATACTCCTGTCATCAGTTAAGGTTTGGGTATGTTGAAACAAGACAAAGTGGATAGTTTTGGCTCCTGTGGAAGACAATGTGTATATTTGTATGATTATATATTATCTCCTTGCAGATAGTTACACTAAGCGTGCAATACCTGTAAGATTTTAGTGTCCTTTTGAGTGATAGCAGAGACCTGCTATTAATACAATATCATGAATGAGATTTGTCGTGATTTTCAGCACCATACATTTTGGATGGTATGGTTCATGTGGATTTGCAAGATTGGTTCATGGTCTGAGATGCTTCTGAATCCAGCATTGATATTAAGCAGTTGTATAATATTTGTGGGAAAAGAAGCATTTTTTCAGCTTTTGCTGATAAACCAGATATACCTTTTCCTTAAAAGAAATCTGTTGCCAGTGATAACACACACATTGCTATCCTCAAGTTTTCATTGTGGCAGTATGCATTACATGGGGCAGGGCTCGATAAACTGGAAACTGAATGTTGTTAGTCAATAACTGCATGATTGCTAGTTAGTTTCTAAATATATTTGTTTCAGCATTGTCACTGGTTAGGCCCAAGTTATCAATATGGCTGCTTGCCTGCCTTCTACTTTTAAATATATAATAGAGCATTTTTTGCTGGTCTCACCATGGCACATTAATTTTACAGATTGCTACTGCAGAGGAAGAAGACCAGCTCTTGCTGAAATTTAGGAGAGGACTGATCTCATAATGTTTTATGACTTTTACAGATAATTTTGGTGTTGGCAGAACGATGAAGCATTTTTATATGCCCAATCATTCTGCCAACCTTAAAATTATCTGTAAAAGTCATAAAACATTATGAGATCGTTTTAAAATCTCTTCAATTTCAGCAAGACCTTTCTCATCTTCAGTTGTTATAATACATCTTTGTGCGCAAAGGTATTAATTTTTTTATGATATATAGTACAATTTGTTCCTATATCATCTGGTAGATAATTTCCTTCCTATTGACTGTATTTTTGCTTAGAGCCATCGCGAATGCTAATTATGTCAAAACTGTTGATGCTGACATATGGCTTTGAGGAACTGAGATGAGAACCATCCTTTAACTTATACCAAATGGCAGATGGTAAACCCTTTTCTGTCACAAATAATATTCTTGATAAAATTGATGGATTTGAAAGCAGAGAGATTTAAGTACCTACAGTAATTGGTTATCACTGAGTTATTCACTGGATTGTATTCTTTGCACTTTTTGTTTCATTTATGTAATCTGATATTTTGGTTCTCCTGCATTTACTGTACAGTATTCCTTTTTCTCTCTCTCTGGATAAATGGAATGTAGGTCTTTTATTTATGACTGTGGAATATGTTTAGATGGGTGTTAATAACTATTTGCTGAGTTCTTACAGACAAACCAGTTCCAATATTTAGTATGTTAAGCCTCGGTATATAAATTATGGATAGCTTATTAGCTGCACATACTCACTGGTTGAGGCAGCAAATGCATGGAAACATTCTTATTGCTAAGCCAACCATATGGTTCAGTATAGTGGCTGAATTGGCTTAAGGTATTAATGACTTAAAATCATTAAAAAGTCTGTGAGTTCAGCTAGAAATCATGCTAAAAAAAATATTTTGAGCAATGCAAGTCTCATATATGTGTGAATCAAAATTGATATGGTTGGAAGTCACTTAATTATATGGATTCCTTAAGAAATGCATATTTCCAAAATATTAAATTATTTTGTTAATTTATTTTATTGATTACGATTATGATTTATACTGTATATCATTCCATGAATGTTCTTACTTTTTTTGTTGTTCAGCATTTGTACTTACCATTAAAATTGAGCTTTGATTGTAGTTTATGGCATATTGGCTAAAATGTGCCCTAACACAGTGGCCCCAACCTTTTGGGCACCAGGGATTGGTTCCGTGGAGAGAGGTTTTTCCGCGGACCCGTGGGGGTGTGATTTCACATGCTGCCTGCATCCTGCAGATGAGGCTTTGCTTATTTGCACGGCCCGGTTTCTGACATGCCACAGACTGGTAGTGGTCCACGGACCAGGAGTTGGGGACCCCTGCCGAAAACAGCACTAATCCTTAGCAGGCAGTTTTACATGTGGTATAAGAATGTGTAAGAATGTCTTTGGAGATTCTCACTCATCCAGGTTATGATTGCCCCAAAGGTACTTTTTCAAAAGGCAACTGGACTTTCCTTGTTTTTTCTTGAAGACGTTTTGCTTCTCATCCAAAAAGCTTCTTCAGAACTGGATGAGAAGTGGATGAGAAGCGAAACGTTTTCAAGGAAAAACAAAGTCCAGTTGCCATTTGAAAAAGCACTTTTGGAGCAATGAGTAAGAATAGTAACATTTTTTATACTTGCTCTGTAAAAAAAAAAAATTATGTGAAATGTATGATTGATCAAAGTAGGCCTTTCTGCTTATGACCGTGGCATACAAAAAGTTTTGACTTCAAATGTAAGACATTTAATTCCTCTAGCCATGGAAATAAAATAAAAATATCAGCATCAGTTTATTCATTCAGACGCATGAGAAAGGAATAGTTAGAAAAACATGAATTATTTTGAGTGATTACGGTGAAAGATTGAGAGGATTAGTGAAAGATACAAACATTATGGGTTCTAAATCTGAAACATTTCATTATTTGGTAGTATTAAAAATGGATTTCAGTGAAAAATGGATAAAGAAAAAGGGAGAGGAGTGAAAAAAAACCTATACAGTCGAAGTAGGATGACTACAGAAATAGAAAGCATGAGTCCTGTGTGCAAAAGTATTCCAATAATCTATCAGAATGAATTTTAAGTAGCAGTAAGGAAAGAGGATGTGAAATCTGCTTAGTGCAGAGTTTCAGAGTTCCACAGAAATATGTGGTGCTACATGCTGCTACGAAGAATGAAAAATGATGCTTAATGAAATGATGAAATAAAAGAGGCTGGGGATGACAAAAAGTAATTACCGGTAGTGACTGTTTGCTGGAAATATCGACTATGTGAGAAGGATTATATAATGTGTTTAGACAGAAATATACTAGTAAAGAATTTAGTTAAAGAAAGCACAGAAGGGATAAGTTTGAAACAGACAGAGCCTTTTTAGTTGAAATCGTTCATCAAAATATATATAGATGTACTAGCTTCTTTAAAAGGCTTTTCAGAACAAAACATTTTCTTTCAGGTTGTATATGTGTTGGTGATCAAGTAGATATTTATGATGGTCTCAATGTCAGAAAAAATCGATGAGAAAAAAAGGACTTTGATTTCAGAACCTCTTTCTGATCTGCTTCTCCAAAATAATATTGGAGAATAATAATAAGTGAAGAAATTTGTACTTGGTTTTTCATTCCATTTTTTCTACTGTCATAACTATAGACTAATTTTAGGTTCTTAACAGCTCTTCCACAAAGTGAGGAATATGTTTAATGAAATTAAACTTCCTCATAAATCCAAAATTTTTGGATTTATGAGAAACAAAAGAAAATAGACTTTAACACTTAAACAGTGTTTAGCAAAAGAAGAGTTAAAGTCTTTGGGCTCTTGTGTTTTCTATTTTTAATCCAGTTCCTCTCTAACAGATACAGTCCTAATATTGATTTCAGAGCAAATTGTAAGGGGAAAAAAACTCTCACAATGCAGCAACGATTAAATTTTGGAGGCCCCTAGGGTAGCATGTAACACACTACTGTTATGTGAACTGCACTGGCTGCCTATCTGTTTCCGGGTTCCATTCAAGGTGTTGGTCATTATTTTTTAAGCCCTTTAAGGCATGGGTCCAACATATCTGAGGTGCCATCTTGTCCCAGTGGGATTGGCCCGCCCCACTCAGCTGGCAGAAGAGGCTACTACAGACCCATCAGCCAAGGAATTGTAGCTGGTAAGTTCCAGGAGAAGAGCCTTTTCTGCTATGGCTCCTGCCCTTTGGAACATCTTGCCTGTAGGAGGTGAGATCCCCTGCCACCCTTCTGGCCTCTAGGAAAGACCTTAAAACTTTGCTATGCCAGTTGGCATGGAGTCCTGAAGGAGAAACTGTGGGCTAGAGATAGGTACTGTAGTAAAAGAGAAGTCACCACCATCTCTCCACTCTAGACCTGTGGGGGAGTTTTTTTGGTTTGGTTTT